GAGATATTGTATTTCGGTATGAAGACAAATAAATGTGTTGTACTCCGACCTTACGATATTAAAATCCAACAAGGCAGTAGTGAAGATAATCGTGATATTTATGTGTTAATGGTTATAATAATGGTGGTAAACTCACATTATTAATTCCGCATCCAAACCCGCTTCATAATGTGGAATACATTAATTTTTTATAAGAATATATTTAAATTAATCGATAAATTTATTCAGCATTAACATTGAAATAGTATAAATCGTACCGTGGTGTTCAACACCACCAGTATGACACAAATTCTAAGGGAGCGTAATGCACAAAATTTTTTGATATTTGGTTTGTTAAACATAAAGGTTAATTTTATTTTTGTTTATTTTTAATTTTTTTTGAAAAAAAAATTTACAAATTGAACAGGGATCTTGGGTATTATAAATTACATTCTTAAATAAAAGTAAAACCAAAAGTCAAATCATATATCTTCAAGAATACTTTCTTCTGGTGCCTGTGGTGGTGGTGGTGGTGGTGGCATACCTTCAGAATGATGTTGAGGGTAACCAGTCAGTGGTATATCAGATTTTTGATGCTGAAGAGGAGGAATATTAGTATTGCGTAGTGCATTAGGCAACGTAATTTGTGGAGGATCACTAGAACCATATCCTGTCAGCATAGCACCGAGAACTGGGCTAAGACTGTTATAATTGTTGCCATCTCTATAAGATGGAGTTCGTGGATAATCTGATTCTAAATGTGGGCGCGAAAAATAACTATTATTATGTTCTGGCAATGGATATGGTCTGTAAAGAAGGATTAAAAAGATTTTAGAGGATGAAAACCAAAAAAAAAAAAAAAAAAAAAAAAAAAAAAAAAAAAAAGGAATGACAAAGTAAAAAAATTAAAAGCTTACGTTGAACCAGCGGGACCAGAAGTGGGACCCTAAATTAAAAATATATATATATATATATTTTAAAAAATTAATAGTCTAATAAAGGAATAAAAGAAACAAATTATTACCTGTTTACGGAATTTTAATAATAACCGTATTTCACCAGCGCCTTTACCACTTGGTCTTGCAATATGAATCCATTGATCAGCGAAACTTGTTTGAAAAATGGTTTCCAGAGGAATCGTAGCTTCCCCTTGTTAAAACGAATTTGCAAAATGACGAAAGAGTATAAGAAAGACTATATTGATATAAGTAATGAAGCAAACAGAGATGTAGATAATAAATATCATGCCTAAGATATCATTTTCAGTGCTTTCATTAAAGACTTGTAAGTAAAGTTCGTAACGCCCTTCAACGATATCACTAATGTTATAGCCGTATAAATATTGTTAGGGAGTACAAAAACCAAAGTCACGAGTAACGTGACGTAACAAAGATCAAAATTTTTAACGTGCATACAAACTAAAAAGTTTGTTCCAAGTAGCATCCGGGCCAGAGTTATGGAGGGTATGTGTTTTTTTTACATTTGCCTTGTCCAAAGATAGAGTAACATATGGATTCACTTTATCTGGAAATTAAATAACTGATGCATAAGTAAGTTCGATATTTTATTTATATGATGTTTAAAGAATATATATTTGAAATACTGACGAAGAAGGTCGGCCTCAAGTTTTTTTGCTTCGACTTAATTTTGAAAAAAAACGTAAAATTTAATAAATACAGAATTTAAATGATCAAATCGAAATTTGCGAAACGATAGTTGAATCATCTTTTTACCGACAATAACTTCAAGCTGTCCGTACGGCATATTTGCAAAGAAAATATAGGAAAGAAAAAGAAATAATACGTCAAAGGCACTAGTCCGCTGACGGCAATTCTTTAAATACGGGATTATCTCACAGCACTGCGGCATTTAACCTTTTCTGCATATTTTGGCGAAGATCTTAAACTCCTAAAAGCTCATTATTAATGTTAGACAAATTACATCATTCATATGTTAAAAGCCGAAGTTATGAAAGAATAGCTTTTAACTTTCTAAAATTCATTAATGACTAATACTAGCCAAATAACATACTGCTACTAAAATACCGATGATAAACTTTGTAAGTCTAGCACTTTATAGCTTTAAACCAGACTTTTCGATAAAATTCAAAGGTTGAAAGTTGGATTATCATGCTATATTAAGACAGTCATTGAAATTATGGTAAGTATCATGTTATAAACGCTAACCATTTAATAAATAAATTTCGTCATAAAAAAGGTTAAAATTTAACTACCTGTATGAACTTGAACAATGCCAAATAAAATAAATAAAATTAGTAATAACAAAATTAGTAATAAAAATTTTTTGAAATAATTTGGTGGCACAATTTAAACGTACGTACGTACCTACATATTACAGAAAATAAGGTAGATTTTTATTGCTATTTATATTATTATTATTTTTTAAACAATCATTATACGTATAAAAATTCCACACTACGTAGTATTACTTCTCTACATGCAAGATTTCCATTACAATCAGTTTCTAATTTGAATTAAATATTTAAAAATGTTTATCATTACTATATATTTAATAAAATTTTAATAGCTATTCTAGAATGTATATTACGTAACAATAAATTTAACAAGGTCAGTTGGCGTTAAACATTAAAGTGAATGCACCGGAGTACGTACGTACGTACGTACGTACGTATATCAATATTTGATATTATTAATCAATTTGGTGCTCCAATTTATGATCTGTTGCCTTATTTTGTTTTATAGTAATAATAAGTTATGTATTCCTCTTTTTATTAATTGATATTTCTATTTAAATTTAGAATTTAGCACTACGGAATAAAGTTTGTATATACTTTTTTTTTAACATTCATTTTTCTAATCTAAGACGGAAAGTATAGAATAAAAAGTGGTTATGCTTAGTATAATAATTATGGTGTCGAAACGGTAGACCACAATAGATGCTAAAATCATTTGTTTAACTAACTTGTAAACCAAAAACATTACTTCCATATAATTCGATTCTAAACTTTTAAAGAATTACATAAATAATTTCGTATTCTAACGAAGTAACATTGACTCATTGGCGTTATTTTGAAAATCGCTTCTTTAAAGGCAGCATCCTTAACGTCAATACTGCGTCCACGGGTTTGATCCTTGATTTCAAATGACGCTCAGGTGGGCGCTATGTCGTCAAAATACGGCGATAACAATTATGAAATACCAACTTAGAATAATGTTTAGCAATTAGCCTTGCTAAATTTTCTTTTTTTAAAGGTTTGGAGGAATACTATTATAGTCCTTTTTCAAGTTAAAGTCTAAGATATAATAAATGCAGTAGCTCTGCCATTTACATCACCTTCGCCCTCTCCGGCAATCAATCTACATTCCAAGTAAACTCTAGAGCCTCTCCAATAAACATGGTTCATTGATAAATCATTCTATGATGCACCTTTTTTAATTTGGC